ATAGGTTGAGAACCGCTGGTCTAGGAGATCAGTCTGCCAACAGAATTACAATTCCCAGCATTCCTGGTGCTCCTTGCACTCTGGGTTTCCACTTCCGGTCCTGGGGCTGCCACCAAAACTACTATTCCCAGAATTCCTGGTGCTCACCATGCTCTGGGGCTCTGGGTTTTCCCCAAATGACAAAGGGAGCCATGTTCCCCCAAGCCTCCAGCTCTCTTGCTCTGCTCTCCGTCCAGTGACTGAGGGAGCCACATTCCTCCAAGCTGCCATCTCTCCCACTATGTTGTGTATGCAAATTACCCGCCATCTTTGTTGGGTTATTTTGCATACTTGCTTCTCATTGGCTGGTGGGCATGGCATGTGAGCATAGCAGAGGGACAGCTAATTTGCATGTTTCTCTTTTATTATATAGGACTAGAGGCCTGGTGCACAGAAATGTGCACTGGTGGGGTCCCTCAGTCTGGCCTGTGCCCTCTCACAATATGGGACCCCTTGGGGGATGTTGGACTGCCAGTGTCAGCCTGATCCCCACAAGTCAGGCCAAGAGACCCTACTGGTGCAGGAATCCATGAACTAGGCCTCTAGTATGAATATAAGACCAGCCTGGGTAAGGGGCTGATGGCTGTTTGCAGGCTGCCTGCACCCCCTTTCGGGTGGGGGCCCCCACTGGGGTGCCTGGCCAGTCTGGGTGAGGGGCTGAGGGCCGTTTTCAGGCTGGTGGGTGACTGAAGCTCCCAACCTCTCCTTTTTTTCTTTTTATTCTGGGATTTATTTACCTTCTTCTATGACTGTCACTGAACTGAGAGCCGGCTTTAGCTCTGAGGCTCAGCTCCAGCTGAGACCTCGGCTGCTGAAAGCAGGTATCTGGGGTTGTTTGGCTTCTATAATTGAAACACTGTTGCAGCTCCAACTCTGAGGCCGGCTGGCTGAAAGCAGGTTTCTGTGGTATGTTTAGCTTCTTTAATTGCAACATTGTTTCTTAGAGTGCAGCTCAGAGGCTGGCAGTGGCAGGGGGGGAACCCTGGCTTCCTCCATCACTGGAGCAAGCAATCCTCCTGTTCGCTTCAGCAGCCTGGCTGCCGGCTGCCATCTTGGCTGGCAGTTAATTTGCACATCGTCCTGATTAGCCAATGGGAAGCATGTCAGAGGTACGGTTTATTACCATGTTTGTCTATTATTAGATAGGATTATATTATTAAATCACAAGATAAAATAGACCTTAAAAAAATTTATTGATTGATTTGAGAGAGAGAAACAGAGACACAAACTGACTTATTGTTCTACTTATTTATGTACTCATTGGCTGATTCATGTATATGCCCTCACTGGGGACTGAACCCACAACCTTGGCATTATCGGGATGATGCTCCAACCAAGCTACCAGGCCAGGGATAAAATGTTCTTAACCTAGAAAAAAGAAATAGCTATACCAAAATACTACTAGCTATATCAATAAATAAAAGGCTTGGCTGGTGTGGCTCAGTTGGTTGAGCATCATCCCATGCACCAAGAGGATGCCTGTTCGATTCCTGATCGGGGCACATGCCTGGACTGGGAGCTCAATCCCCAGTGGGGGCACGCAGGAAGCAGCCAGTTGGTTTCTCTCTCTCTCAACCTCTTCCTTCCTCTCTCTCTAAAATAAAATAATAACAATAATAATACATACATACATACACACATTAAATGAAAGGATTATAGGTAAATTTTGTGGTTCTCCCCCACCCCCCCCACCGCCACCTCTGCTTTTCTGTATTTCCCTAATTATAAAAATAATTCTGGAAATTGAATAAAAACTAGCATTCCCTCATGGGTTCCACAGACTTGTTAAGCATTACACACACACACACACACACACACACACAGTCCAAGAGGCTCAAAGCCTCTTCACACTAACCCCAAAATGATTCATACAACATAACATAGACAAGAAAGAAGTTTCACTTAACTATAATATGATCAGAAAAAAGCAATCAAAAGAAACAGAATGAATAGTAACTTCACTCCCTCAACATGACTAAAATTCCCCATTTTTTCACAGTGACTTTAAAGTCCTTTAGCTTTTTGGCAGGATGTAGGCAACCCCAATTTGGGCTATTTCCAAATGACTCTGCTACAGCAAAGAGTTATGGGCATGGGGGTGGGGGAGGGGGTGAGAATGCTCATTATTAAACCGATGGTATTTTTCTCACATAAACTAAATTCACCAAGTTACCTGTAGGGCCACAGTTACAGCTGCATTTATGTTATTATCACATGGTGAAGCAGTATTTGTCCCTGATGGCTTTACAGGATTTGGGGAAGAAACTGATATAGTTGTTGAGTTGAGAACATCCTTCTGAACAGTGGAATCCTCCACTAGATCCTTTTCTATATGAGTTGTGCTAAGAAAAAAAGAATTTTACATTAGATGTAATATAGTACACAGAAACAGGTGAGCAAATGATCAGAAGAAAAAGTAATCTTAATGTGGAAGATCTTTCCATATCAAAAACTGTACCTCAATGCAGGAGGCTCAGCTGTACACGAAGGACCGGTACTTGTATTGAGTTGCTGGGCAGCGGTGCAGTCGGTCTGTTCATCCTCTGCAGGCACTGGGCAACTATCCCCTTGTCTTAACTCTTCATTATCCTTAAAGTGAAAACATATTTCAAAATTACATTTATAGTAAAATACAGCATGGGAATGTAGTCAATAGGAAATGTAGTCAATAATTATGTAATGTGTCAGGTAGGTACTAGACCAGTGATGGCAAACCTATGATACACGTGTCAGAGGTGACCTGCGAACTCATTTTTTTGGTTGATTTTTCTTTGTTAAATGGCATTTAAATATATAAAATAAATGTCAAAAATACAAGTCTTTGTTTTACTATGGTTGCAAATATCAAAAAATTTCTATGTGTGACACAGCACCAGAGTTAAGTTAGGGTTTTTCAAAATGCTGACACGCCGAGCTCAAAAGGTTCGCCATCGCTGTACTAGACTCATCAGGGGGATCACTTAGCACAGTGGTTTCCAACCTTGGCTGCACATTAGAATGCCAAGGTTAAGAACCACTGACTTTAATGTCTAACCACTATGTTGTACATTTGAAACTAATATAATATTGAATGTCAATTATAATTAAATAATAAAATTTTAAAATTAGACTTATAGTCATTTCTCCAAATAAGATATACAAATGGCCAACAAGAATATATGAAAAGATGTTCAACATCATTAGTCATTAGGGAAATGCAAATCAAAACCACAACAAGAAACCACTACATACTCACTAGGGTGGCTATAATCAGTAAGAGAGGCAATAACTAATGTTATTGGAACCCTCATACATAGAAAGTGGCAATGTAAAATGGTGCAGCCACTTTGGAAAATAGTGAGGCAGTTCCTCAAAAAGTTAGAGTTACCATAATTCACTCTTGGGTACGTACCCAAGAGAAAGCATGCCTGCAAAAAATTTAAGCAAAAATGTTCATAGTAGCATTATTCATAATAGCCAAAAAAGTGAGAACAACACAAATGTTCATCAACTGGTGAACAGATAAGCCTCTAGGGATCTGGCCTAAGCCAGCAGGTGGACATCCCCCAAGGGGTCCTGGACTGCGAGAGGACACAGGCTGGGCTAGGGGACCCTGCCCCCACCTCCCAGCCCCCGTCAGTGCACGAATCTTATGCACTGGGCCTCTAATAACAAAAAAAAAAAAAAAAGAAAGAAAACAGAAAATTACAACAATATCCTATATAATAAAAGCCTAATATGCTCAACTGTTCAACCAATCAAAGTATAATATGCTAATTACATGCTAAGGCCGCTCAATGGCTCTATGATGTGCACTGACCACCAGGGGGCAGACGCTCTGGCTGGTAGGTTAGCTTGCTGCTGTGGTCCGGCAGATCAGGACTGAGTGGGATGGGTTGGACAAGCCCTGGAGCCCTCCTGCAGTCCCTCCCCAGACCGATTGTGCACTGATGGGGTCCCTCCTCCTGGCCTGTGCCCTCTCGCAATCCGGGACCCCCTTGAGGGATGTCAGAGAGCCGGTTTCAGCCTGATCCCGCAGGTCACTCCTCTCTGGAGGGCGCCAGGTGCAGGGCTCATAGCTGGTGAGCACTGCTGTGGCAGCTCGAACTTCTCTTGATTGGGACTAATTGGGCATGAGTCCTCAGCAGGTGCAGTGGGGCCCGGGATGAGCAGGAGCAGCAGGTAGGAGCTGCAGGCAGTGTAGGACTACAGGTTTTGTTGGACTCCAGGTTTCAGGCCAATCCCTGCAGGCGACTCAGAGGGGCCCCACCTGTACATGAATTTGTGCACCAGGCCTCTCGTACTGTAATAAAGGTTTTGTGAATGTGGTCTGTCATCTCTCTTTCTCAAAATATCTTATTTACAGCACTTATCATTTCACTTAAAGGAAGACTCTACATCTTCTCTTTGGCATATACAAATCACCAGCATCACTACTCTTATGCTCTGGGGCCATTATTATGTAAAATAAGAGTTTCTTGCACACAAGCACTGTACTATAGTGACATGTGACCAGATAACTGAGAGAGACTAAAGGCTGGATAGTGTATATACTGTGGATACACCTGACAATGATTCACACACCAAGCGCGCTTCTCAGAAGGGCATGAAATTTGAAACTTAAGAATTGTTGCCTGGCTGGTGTGGCTCAGTTGGTTGGGTATCATCCTGTGAACCAAGGGATAGTAGGTTCAAGTCCTGTCAGGGCACATGCTTAGGCTGCAGGCTTGATCCCCGATAGCAGGTGTGCAGGAAGCAGCTGATTGATTTGTTGTTATCACATTGATGTTTCTATGTCCCTCCCCCCCATCTCTCTCTAAAAATCCATTTAAAAATCTCAATTAAAATTTATGCATTGTTAATTGTTGGAATTTTCCATTTAATAGTTTTAAATTGTGGTAACTGAAACCATGGAAAGCAAAATTACAGATGGGGGGGGGGCGCTACTATATATTCATACAATGAAATGTTACTGTGCAATGAAAGGAATAAAGGACACATGCCACAACAATGGATCAATCTTGGGGACATCATGCCAAGTGAAATACACTAGCCACAAAAAGACAAAATACTCTATGATTCTATTTATATGAGGCAACTAAAATAATCAGTTATAGAGACAAAGTAGGATGATGGTTGCCAGGGGCTGAGGGAAGGGAGAATGGAATTTATTGTTTACTGGTAGTATTTTAGCTTTGTAAGACTAAAAGAGTTCTGGAGATTGATTACACAACAACATGAATGTATTTAGCACAAGTGAGCTGCACACACTTAACAATGGTTAAGATAGTAAATTTATGTTATGTGTATTTTACCAGAATTAAAACAAGAAAAAGAAAAATAAGACAAGTACAAAACTCAAAATTAAGAAAGCCAAAACAAGCAAACCAAGGTCCAATATCAAATTAAGAGTTCCAGAAAAAAAGAAAAGAGGTGAAGGATTTATCAGAGAGAAGTACAGGAAATTTATCCCACATGGAAGGTCATGAGTTTCCAGATTTAAAAATTCCATCAAGGTATCCAGTACAATGACTAAAACCAAACAAAACAAAGAGTGTCATAGCAAGATACATCATCATGAAATTCCACAGAATACCAGGAATAAATAAAATATCCTAAAAGCCCCCGGTGGGGTGGGATGGGTGGAAAGATAAACGTCATTGGGAGAATGAGGGATCAAAACCATAGTTTCTAGCCCAGTTGCAGTGGCTCAGTGGTTGAGCGCTGACCTATGAACCAGGAGGTCACGATTCAATTCCCAGTCAGAGCACATGCTTGAGTTACCGGATAAATGAGGGAGTGCAGGGGGCAGCCAATCAGTGATTCTCTCTCATCACTGATGGATCTATCTCTCCCTCTCTCTTCCTCTCTAAAATCAATAAAAATATATTTAAAAACAAATAAACAAACCACAGTTTCTGAAATGAACCTCTGGAAGCTAGATTATTTCCTAAGCCAAAAAGAAAAAGGAGGAAAAAAAAAACTACAAAGAAATACTGCCAAATATAACCATATTAAAATTAAGAACCTGTTTTTTACCCACAAATACATAAGACTGAAAATAAACCATTAGTGATATACATAACTGACAAAGAATTAGTATCCAGAATACTGTTTAAATTCCATGAATCTGTAAGATAAGAGATAACCCAATGTGCCAAAATATTTAAAAAACTCTTTTTATAAAAGAGACTCAAATGGCCAATAAATATAAAAATGATAATTTAGCTGTGGCCAGTTGCTCAGTCGTTAGAGCATTGGCCCGTGGGTCACAGGTTCAATTCCCGGTTAAGGGCACAGGCAAGGGCACCTCGTTTGCAGGTTCCCCAGCCCCAGTAGAGGTGAGTCTCTCTCTCTCCCCCACTCCCCCTTTAGAAATCAATGGAAAAAATACCCTTGGGTGAGAATTTAAAAAAAAAGGTAATTTAACCTCAAGAGTCATTCAAATTTTAAAAAGCCCTATCACTGCCCTGGCTGGTTTGGCTCAGGGGACTGAAGGGTCCCAGGTTCGCTTCTGTCAAGGGCATGTACCTGGGTTGCGGGCACATCCCCAGTAGGGTGTGTGCAGGAGGTAGCTGATCGATGCTTCTCTCTCATCGATGTTTCTGGCTCTCTATCCCTCTCCCTCCTCGCTGTACAAAATCAATAAAATACATATTAAAAAAAATGTTACTGATTAAAAAAAAAAGCCCTATCACTCAGCAATTATACCTTAGAAATGTTCTTGCTCACATGAACAGAAAGTTTGAAGATTCATAGCAGTATTGCTTATAATAATGAACCGACAAAAAACATTAGTCCATCAATGATAGAATGAATTAATGTTATATTCTTACACAATAGCTCAAAATAAAATAGTCACCTACATCAACAGCAATATATTTCATACAACACAGAAGGGAAGTAACAAAAGAATACATATATGTATAACCCAAGGACACAGACAATAGGATGATGAAGACTTGGATGAGGGGTGAACTGGAGGGGGTCAATAAAGATAAAAAAAGACAGCCTGATTTTCAAAGGTGAAATATATGAATCTTAGAAGTGACAAAATAACTAAAATACTGCACTTTTTAAAACAGGCAATAAAGTGTCTTCAAAATTTCAAAGAAAACACAGCTCAAATGTCCATCAATAGAATGAATTCTACTAGATATGCTACTAATCAAGTGTGAGAACATCAAAACATTTTCAGAATGCAAGATCTCTACAAATTTATACTAAAAGCCCTTTATTCAGGAAGCTTGGGAAGATGTTACTCACCATAATATGGGAAAGTAAAACAAGAGCAAGAAAAAGGGGGGATCTAACCAAGTAGAGTAAGGAAAATTCCCAGGATTGGTAGTGAAGAGACATCCCAGGAACATAGCTGTGCAGGCCATGGAGAATATAAAAAAGGAGAAATAATAACAGTATACTATGAGGCTGTTAGGGAAAAGTTATGTAATACTGAGGTGTGACTTACAATGATGGCATATCCTACTCTAACTAGCAATAATTTTTTTTCTTAGTGATACTAAAATAATGGGACATAGCCCGAGCTAGTTTGACTCAGTGGATAGAGCATCAGCCCACGGACTGAAGGATCTCAGGTTCGATTGTAGTCAAGGGCATACACCTTGGTTGCAGGCTCAATCCCTGGACTTGGTTGGGGCCCGTGTGGCAGGCAACCAATTGATGTGTCTCTCTCCTATTGATGTTTCTCTCTGTCTCTCTCCACTCCCTTCTGCTCTCTCTAAAAATCAGTGGGACAATAGCGTTGGGTGAAGATTAACAAAAAAATGAAGTTAATTAAATTTTAAATAAAGTAATTGGGCATCTTATAATTGATGGTACCCTAGATATGATAAAGTAAAATCTACTGGGAGGATGAGAAGAATATGTTGCTTTAAGAGGGCTAAATACTTAGCTTCTAGAATGTAAAGTTAATAGATGTCTATAACTGAAAGGTAAAAAAAAATAGCAGTATAACCATGTTAATTAGAAATACAGGAACAAATGTCAAGAGAAAAGCTAGAGTTGAAGGTGGTTGCAGGGTACTATTTCCATTACAAGCCTAGGTATACTGTGTACATGTACTATTAAAATAACAATAGAATTAGAAAAAAAGGGGGGCAGAACATAAGAAAATTCTGTGGGGAATGGGAATTTACCATATTAAGAGGTCTAACTCAAAAATATTATAGGATGAGATATCCTAACATTTTGACATTCACTCTCCATTATTTAAAAACTGAGTTTATCAAACTAGCTTAAAATTCTCATTTATATCATTGGTTAATTACAGGCACTTAAGTGGAAATGACACTTTCCATTTGGCTTGCATTAATCAGTTCTATCAAGCTGAGTGACTGACAAAGACATGTAAAAATGACAAAATATTTTATTTGTAGCTTTATCGTAAATATTTTTCTTAGTTTTTTTTAAAATCCTCACCTGAGTATTTTTTTTAACTGATTTTAGATAGAGAAGAACGGAGAGAGATAGAGATAGAGAGACAGAGAAACACTGATCAGTTGCCTCCCCTACCGCAACCTAGGTATGCGCCTTGAGGAGGAATCGAACTTGCAACCTTTTGATGTACTGGGCGTAGGGGACGATGCTGCAACCAACTGAGCCACGTGGCCACAGGACTATCATAAATCTTTTTATAATACTCAATGTATACTGACAATCCCCTGAATTAAAACTATATTAGAAATACTTATCAAGAACAAAAACCTAAATAACTTAAAACATAGGCTAATACTATAGTCCCCAAAAGGTAGAAGATTGGATGTTTCAGTGTTTACCTTTTCTTTGCAGACACCTTTAACAACATCAGACATCCTACTCTCCAAAACAAGTTCACCTGGTGTTCTTGATGAACTTCCAGGTAAAGGAGGAAAATTTGAGGCTAATAAGTCAAACTTTGGTGTTGGAGCCTTTGCTTCAGCTGTTGAAGGTTGGGGTCTCTAAAAGACACAAATCATAAAACAGGTCATATGACTACCTTATTCTCTAACCCTGTACCACAGAAGCTGAAACTTCAAAAAACAAACTCTACCCTAATGTACAGAATTGTTTCCCTATAAATTTTGGCTTCTCATCTCAATTGAGCTCTTATTAGTCTTTTTTTTTTTTTTTTATAATATGGAATGCTTCACAAATTTGCAAGTCATCCTTCCACAGGGCTATGTAATTCTTCTCTACATTGCTCAAATTTTAGTATATGTGCTGCTGAAGAGAACATGCGCTTCCATAGTCTATCAGTCCTCCATACCTTTAGTTAGCTCCCTCTCATTTATTTTGCAAACTTTGCCACACTCCTAAGCCTTCTAATCAATCTCCACTATTCTTTGCTTTCTAAATTAGCTATACCTCCTTTTCTAACAAAAAAAAAAACCCCCTACCTCACATAAATTTGCCATCATCATTCACCCTTCCATACAGTCTCAAGAGAGAACAATATCCTTCCTTGAAAATCTCATCTGTCCCTTTCACCCTAACCACTCTCTATATCCTCTGACAAACCTCTCACTTGTACCTCCTCCTCTACCTCCTCACCTCTGGACTCATCATACCACTGCTTTGACAAGTCACCAATGCCTTCCACAATGCAAAAGCTGGCAGACTTTTTCCATGACCTCACTATAGCATTTGGCATGGTAAACATTCTTTCCTTTGGGAGCTCATTTCTCCCTTAGCTTCTGTGACACACCTTTCTCTTGATGCACAGATCTGATAATCATGTGCTGTTCTCTGCCTGCCTACTTCTTTTGATGGTTTTTGATTTCTATACAGTCATTACTTCTCACTTTCCATATTCCATACTTTCCCTGTGTGATGATACCCTTTATTCATGACTCTAACTATTATCTACATGCAAACAATCCTTAAAACAATTTTTTACTTTTTGGTAACTTTTGGCTGCACAACTCTGAAAACATACCAAAAATCATTGAGTTGTACACTTTATTTTCAGCCCAGACCTTCACCTGAAACCCAGATACCCATTTGCCTGCCTATCAGCCATTGCCACTCAGACTTTACTTAGATACTTCAAACATGATGAACAATCTCATTTTTCAACCCAAAGCCACTATGTTCCCCAAGGTTCCATTCTTGACCCTTTTTAAAAAAATCACTCACTATACAGAGTCCCCTGCCATGACCTCATCTACTCAGATGACTTCAGTTACTATGAGTAAGTTTACAAATCCTAAATTTTATTTCTAGCTAACATCGCCCTCCTGCACAAGGGCACCTCACTCCTGCCCTTCCTACTGGAAAACATGCCTGTCTCCTTTTTCTTCATCTCAATCTTCAGTCCTCAATCCAGACATTTTTTAACATGTTAAGCAGACCTCAAACCTAATTTCTCCTCTCCTCAATTGTTCATGGCCACTTGAGGATGTTACTGCTTCAATGGTATCTTTAAAAAGTTGTTGCCTAAAATCTCATGGCTGCCCATAGTATAGAAAGCTATAAATGAAAAAACAACACTGTTTTAAAGGGTTCATAGTTTGCCCTAAGGACTATTCTTTGTTATAACGCAATACATTTTCTTCTTTGAAAATGTGTATGCTTTTAATACTTTATAAATGTGGTGTATGTGTAACTTATATGTATAACCAACAGTAAGCTATATGTATACTACTTATATATGTATACAATTCACTAGTTATACATGTAAAATAAGCATTATATTACACATTTATGATATATCTGTAAATTCTAGACAGAGTTTTCTTGAGACCTCTGTATCTTCCTACATCATTTTCATTCCTCAACACTTTTTGGGCCCATTTAAGAAATGGTAAGTAGTCACTATGAAAAACACACACAAAAAATCAAAATATGAATAATCTGAGGCATTAAGATTCAAATAAGAATGTTAGGCCTTAGCTATAAACATTTTTCTTTAAGCGATTTTATAAGATTAGTGGATATAAGAATTAACAGCAGGTAGAAAATTGACTCCAAACAATTAATAAACAGTATAACAGTTTCTAACACCATCCAACAGAGCTTTAAAAATTAATGATATGCTTTATCAGATTGGCAAAAAATCATATCCTGCCCTGACGGGTGTGGCTGTTGGTTGAGCGTCGTCCCATGCACCAAAAAGGTTAACAGTTCGATTCCTGGTCAGAGCACATGCCTGAGTTGTGGGCTCAATCCCTGGTGGGGGGCGTGCAGGAGGCAAGCTGATCAATGTTGTACTCTCACATCGATGTTTCTCTCTCCCTTCCTCTCTAGTGATTAATAAACTATTCTTTAAAAAAATAAAATCATATCCTCTGTAAGACTATGGATAAACAGGAATGAAAATCAGCACAACCCCTATAGAAAACTACTTAGCAGCAACTTATTAAATTGTGACCCAGAAATCCCACTTCTAGAGATTCTCCTTCAGATACTGAATACATAGGAAACAATAATTTTATGAGGTTATCATTGCACTGTTTGTAATAGCACTTATATACAATCAGAAGATTCAAACTGCTTAAATGTCTGTTAGTAAAGTAAGAGTTAATCTTTTCATAGAATATTTTCATATTTTTTATTTTTAAACCATGTGAAAATATTAGATACTCAAGTAATTTTTTAAGAAAGTGAGAAACACAGGTCAAATCCTTAACTATGTGTGCATTTTAAGGGTAGAGGGAGCGTGATAATGGTGTATATTTCAGGGTCAAGCACATGCTGCATACTATCATCGATCAAGTAGCCCCAGCCCAGTGGTCAGCAAACTGCGGCTCACAAGCCACATGTGGCTCTTTGGCCCCTTGAGTGTGGCTCTTCCACAAAATACCACGTGCGGGCGCACACGTACGTACAGTGCGATTGAAACTTCGTGGCCCATGCGCAGAAGTCGGTATTTTGTGGAAGAGCCACACTCAAGAGGCCAAAGAGCTGCATGTGGCTCACAAGCCGCAGTTTGCCGACCACTGCCCTAGCCGGTTTGGCTCAGTGGATAGAGCGTCAGCCTGTGAACTGAAGGGTCCCAGGTTTGATTCTGGTCAAAGGCACATGCCCGGATTATGGGCTCAATCCCCAAGGGGGGACGTGCAGGAGGCAGCCGATCAATGGTTCTCTCTCATCATTGATGTTTCTTTCTGTCTCTCCCTCTCCCTTCCTCTCTGAAATCAATAATATATATATTTTTAAAAATCAATCAAGTAGAAACCTAAAAGTCAAGGTAGACCACAAGTCAATGGCATAGTAAATCACAAAAGAAAAGAAAAATTAACAGCAGTAATTAAAAGTAAAAAAATACTTACTGGGATTCTGTCATCTTCTCGTCGTCTTCGACCTCTGAAAAGAGTTCTCCTTTTAACAAAACAAAAAAAGGGTGGTGGGAGGGCGAACTCATAAGTTTCTTCAAATTTATACATTTCATAAAAAAATGAGTGTATTTCTATTTTAAGTATCTATACATCTAAACTTCCATTATTATTAAAAGACTAGAGGCCCGGTGCACGAAATTCATGCACTCAGCAGGGGTGGGGGTGGGGGTGTAGTGTCCCTCAGCCTGGATTGTGAGAGGGCACAGGCCAGGCCAAGGGACCCCACCGGTGCATAATCAGGCCAGGGAGGTTGGCCAGCTGGGGAGGGACCCAGGAGGGCTCCTAGGCATGTCCAGCTGGTCTCCTTCAGTCCCGATCAGCCAGACCCCAGCAGCAAGCTAACCCACCAGTCAGAGCGTCTGCCCCCTGGTGGTCAGTGCATGTCATAGTGAGTGGTTGAGAAGCCTTAGCATATTACGCTTTGATTGGTTAAATGGCTGACCGGACGACTGGACACTTAGTATATTAGGCTTTTATTATATAGGATAAATATGTATTCTTCTGAAGGGATCCTGAGCAAATCTACCAAAAACTTCAACTACGATCACCACCACCACCACGAAGTAAGCTAAGCACTCTCTCCACACCAGGAGCAGATTAGGGTTATGTTTTTTTCAGGCAAGTTAGGTTATATATAACCATATTCCCTTAGTTTAGAAATTAGCTCTGGCCGGGTAGCTCAGTTGGTTTTACAGCATTGCTCTGATATGCCAAGGTTGGGGGGTTCAATCCCATGAGGGTACATACAGGAAGCAACCAATGAATGCAGAAATAAGTGGATCAACAAATGTCTCGCTCCATTCCTCTCTAAAATCAATCAATCAATCAGATAGTTGTGGGAAAGTAAAACTATAATGCAGATGGGATTTTATCTTTCTAAACCATTCTTTGTGAACTTCAGAATAACTTTCATAAATCCAACTTAGTTACATTCTATATAAACACTCTAAATTTCTTAATAATTATGAAAAACTATTACGTAAAATGTATTTACTTAACACTAGATCATGGTTTCCAAATACTCACATTATGATAAAAGGAGTTTCATACACCTTATTTCCTTCCAGATTTATTACCATATTCACTTACCTGCCCCTACCATAATCCCCATTCTGTTCAATCGGCAAAGTTGGAGTCTCTTTCGGAAGGTAGCTTTGCTCCTGATGTCCTGTTACTATAGGGTTATGCCGTTCAGCTGGAAAGTTTCTTGAACCAGATCTGTTTACTGGTCCATCCCCCAATGACACAGATCCCTCTGTTGAGTGTTCTGAACCACTTGATGCCCTAAAATGAGGCTTCACGCTATGAGAAATAATGATCATATATATGAGAGGATAAATCAAGACAGACAGAACATCTTTCTTCTTAATGGTAGAAACTCTTAATAGGCCAAGTTAAAAACTGTTTTTTGCTGTTTCCGGTTTTCCATTAATTAAGTTAAACATAAAATTGTTTTATAAAAATATAAACCCTTTTATGTCCTAGATATATTATTTTTTAACAGGCAAAGAAATTTTACATTAAAAAGTTGTTAAAAGACATTTGGGGGAAAATCCAAAGTTCTTTGAGATACTCAGGCTAAAACTATGATTTTAGCTTCTTTCTTTAACATAAGCTGCAGTCTTCAGCCAGGCTTTAAGCTTATTAATGAATCTGTGTCAAGCATCTACCTTATTAATTTCTTATTAATTCTATGTATAAAGTACAGACATACATACATAATCTCCAGTATTAAACTTTCACAGGGAGAGCCCTAACTGGTATGGCTCAGTTGTTTGAGTGTCGTCCCATGTACCAGGAAGCTGCTGGTTTGATTCCAAGTTGGGTGCATGCCTGGGTTGTAAGGTTTGATCCTTCCCCAGTAGAGGGTATGCAGAAGGCAGGCAATCAATGTTTCTCTCTCCTCTCCCTTCCTCTCTCTAAAATCAATAATTTTTTAAAAGGTTGCTGGTTCGAGTCACGGTCAGTGCACATGCTCAGGTTGTGGGCTTGATCCCCAGGAGGGGCATGCAAGAGGCGGCCAACTGATATGATGCTCTCATATTGTTATGTCTTTCTCCCTCTCTCACATCTTCTCTCTCTCTAAAAAAAAAAAATCAATAAAACTTAAAAAATTTTTTCATAAGGGAAAATCAGAAAAAAAGTATAAAAAGGGAATGATATTTAAAAAAAATAAAATGAAGGAATGTATTAAAATCCTACCTTCTTACTAAGTATCCCTTGCCAAATGAAATTTGTTGTTCAATGATCCATACGTGGGACATAAAATATAACTAGGAAGATATAATACAACTAATAGCCTGACATGACTTCATGAATTAAGGTATGAAATCTGGTAAAAACAAGACAAAACAAAGAAAGCTACTTCTAACAGAAGTAACTTTTATCTTGGATCATGTGCATAGGCACCCAACTCGTACAATTTATAAGCAGATAAAGCTATGGTAAAGGAGAGAAGATGGAGTTTAATCAATCGTTAAAACATCTAAAGTTAAGTCCAAGCAACTGAGGATCTTGGCTCTATAAATTTTTTTAAAATATGTTTTTATTGATTTCAGAGAAGAAAGGACAGAGAGAGACAGATAGAAACACCAATGATGAGAGAATTATTGATGGGCAGTCTCCTGCACGGCCCCTACTGGGAATGGAGCCCACAACCTGGGCATGTGCCCTTTACTGGAATCGAACCTGGGACCTTTCAGTCCACAGGCCAACACTCTATCATCCACTGTTGGCTCTATAGAGTTGGGCTGAGTTTAATATGAGATGATACTTTTCCAGATACTTTCTGTCACAAAGTAGGTTTTTAGTCGCAATTAAAATAATATAATGTCAACTAACACGTAATTTTCAATATATTTATATTATCCATATCTGAAAATGACCCCATTAAGTAGCTACGCTATTTACATTACCTGTTCAAAAACTTTCACTTCAATTTTCTCATTGCATTTCAAGAGACCTAATGGACAAGTTAGGTTTAAACAGCCCTCAGATCTCATAATCTTACCCTTCACTGAGAGGGACTAACAATCTCAATCTGGGCAAAAGAAAGAAATAAGCGATAAAAGATAGAAAGGAAGAAGTATAGTGACAGAAAGACAAAGTATGAAAGGTAGAAAAATGCCCCGACTTCTGAAGTTAGTCCTATTTTCTCTAAGTAGGTCTAGTGATCATCACTGGGCTGTTATAAGGCCAATACAATATAATAAACTGCATGAGGGCCCTATGTCGTTACTTTCTCCTTGACTGATATAAATAAAGGTCTGGCAGTGGTCACTTCTTAGAAATAAAGAAACAAGGATTTGGTTGGGGGGGAGGGGTGTCAAAACACTTTACTGTAATATTTGCATTTATATAAGAAAGTATTCATGTGCTATTTCTGTAATTAAAAATTAACAGCAACCTGCATTGGTCAAACATATGGAAAAGAATTATACACAAATGGTTTCGAGTAACAAGCAAAATTATAATAAATCTGCCCTGTATTTTCAATAACATAAGTACACCTCCATTAAAGCCAAGATGATTTGACTGTCATTTTTGGCTTTCTTATTTGGCTTACCCCCTTCACCAAGAAAGCACAGCAAAGACAAGTAACAATAAAGGAACACCATGAAAACAATGTATTTTTAAATCAAGCATCTGCAAACATCAGTACTTTTATATTTTTATATGTTTTTATTGGTTTTTAGAGACAGAAGAAAGAAGAGGGATAGAGAGATAGAAACATCAATGAGAGAATCATCAATTGGCTGCCTCATGCACTAGAGATAGAGCCCGCAACCTGAGCTTGTGACCTGACCAGGAATTGAACCGTGATCTCTTGGTTCCTAGGTTGATGCTCAACACTGAACCACATGGGCTGGGCAGTACTTTTAGTTATTAGTTAAAAGTTACTTTAGCTCTGGCTGGTATGGCTCAGTTCACTGGAACATTGTCAGGTACACCTGGAGGTGGTGGGTTTGTTTTCCCGTCAGGGCACAGACCCAGACTGTGGGTTTCATCCCCAGCTGGGGTGTGTATGGAAGGCAACCAATTGATGTCTCTCTCTCTCACATCAATGTTTCTCTCTCTCTCTCAAATCAATTTTTTTTAAAAAGCGGGGGGGGGGAGTGTGGGTGAAGGTAAGAGGGCATAGGGGGAATAAATAGTGATGAAAAAATAACAATATATATTTTAAAATTGCTTTCACAGATATGCAGATTGCAGCAAGAAGAATATAGTCAATAATGTCGAAATAACAGGGATATGGGATTAGATGGGTGCTTGGGGCAGTGGGGGAACCACTTTGTGTTACCTCTCTTTAATACACTAAAGGCACTTACACACTGGACTTTGTGTTGCTGCCATAGAACATTTCCTGTTCCCTTTATTTTAAAAAAAAATCAGCATGTACCATCTCAGCCCCAAGTCCTTTTATCCCATTATCAACATAAGGTCAAAGCATGTTTATAAATTCTAGATTAAACCACTCATATATTTTGTGCAAAACAAAAAAATTCCTTTCCACTGAATCTGCAAATAAGCATTGCAATGAACACAGTGACTCTGTAAGAACTACTGAGAACTGCTTACAATAAATTCCAGTCATGATTTTTATCTTACCGATTTTTTTGGAATGGTCGACCCATATTCACAGCAGCAGCAGCAGCAGTTGTTTTATAAGATCCTGGTGAACTAAAGCCATTCACAAAACTACTATTTGGAAACGGAGCCTAAAAGAAAATTTTAATGTTTAAAAACAGTTACTGGTAAAGGCAGCATCTGATGTGAAGGCCATAAGAAATTTCTGACGACTTAACCTAGCATCAATTTCTTCTAGCTCAAAATAATTTTAAACATTTTACTTTTTCACTTTTGCAGTACATTACAGAACAAGAAATCACTGGTCCATTACTTCATAAATCAAACACTTTCTTTGATTAAGTTTCACAAAACTAAAAGCAATTTAAATCAATGGATTTATCCAGTCTCTAACTTTAATTCACACAGCAAAATCTAAAGAATAAAATTATAGAAACATTTAGTCATATGCATACATTTGCTATGGGATATTATAGATCCTCATCATTACTTAAAAAACAGAAAATAAACAATCAACAAAACAAAAAATGAACTCCCACTCTAGCTTGATTTCTTCAAATTTCAGCTTGAGTGAAAAAATTTTTATTATTCTGTAAAGATCTCACTTACCAGTGGTGTTTCAAAGTAAGGTGTAGGATTTGGAGACCAAGACTGAGGCACAATACTATAGATGGAGTACTGTTGGTGAGGACTATATACAGGCTGCATAAAGACTGGTGAGGCATACTGTGCTTGAGTTTGAATGGGCTGACTATACATACTAGAATCCATTAATCGAAAACCATTCTTAGCAAAAAACGTATTGATGGCTTTTATCCTTGCCTAGAAGAAAGAGGAACACATAATTACAAAGGACTAAGTGTATATTTTTACAAATATATTTAATTAAAACTTTTAACTTATTTTACACGACTACATTATTTCTGCCTATTGTAGAATTAGGCAAAAGAAAATGACAGATTTAATTAATTGAAACTTATGTATGGCAAATACACAGAAGTCCAAACAGTGAAACTGTTAATATTCCAAATACATAAATTCTAAAAATAGATTTAAAAGCCAACAATCCTACCTAAAAATGAGTTAGAAAAATAAAGAGTTCACAGAAAAAAAAAGACAAATGACTCTTAAACATATGAAAAAGATACTAAACCTTGCTAAGAGAAATGCTTGAATTAAATTTCTCAATTATACAATCGGCAAAGTCTAAAACAGATAATCTGATACATTAAGATGGGCATGCAAAATAGCACAACTCTTATGAACATCAATCCCAATTCTAGAAATCTTTCCCAAATATACACTGACCAAAACAGTCTTTTATTTTATTTCTTTACTTACTGATTTTTAGAGAGAGAAAGGAATGGAGAAGGAGAGAGGGAAAAAGGGGAAGAGGGAGGGAGAGGGAGGGAGAGAGAGGGGGAGAGAGGGACAGAGAGGGAGAGAGAGGGGAAGAGAGGGAGAGAGAGGGAGAGAGAGGGGGAGAGAGAGGGAGAGATACTTGTTGCTACACTTATTTAAGCATTCATTGGTTGATTCTTATATGTGCCCTGACTGGAATCGAACCCACATCCTTGTTTAGGATGATGCTCTAAACAACTAAGCTATCCAGCCAGGGCCAAAATAGTTTTGTTTTTTTTAAGGATGCACACAGCTATTCACTGACACTATTTGTAATGTAGGGTCAGGGGTGGAGGACAGACTCTCCCCACCACACACAAACCAACCCAACATTCCATCGATGGCTGAATACATCAGGATACATACACACAACTGAGTAAGTAACCTGCAGATATAAAAAGAACTGAGTAATTGCTCTAAATACTATTATGAAGTGACTTCCAGAATATACAGATTAAAGAAAAAAGGCAAGGTTGTATCATAAGCTTTCTCGCTAAGTCAGATGGAAATATGAAGACATACTTACATACATATATACAGAGTGTCCCAAAAATGTATACACACACTATGTCTACATTATATTACATTTTGAAAATAAAATGTATTTTCATAAACACTGCCTTTTAAAATATATATATTTTTATTGATTTCAGAGAGGAAGGGAGAGGGAAACATCAATGATGAGAAAGAATCATTAATCGGCTGCCTCCTGCATACCCTCTACTAGGGATCAAGCCCGCAACCCAGACATATGTCCTGACCTGGAATCGAACCGTGACCTCCTGGTTTCTAGGTAGATGCCCAACCATTGAGCCACACTAGCCAGGCAACACTGTCTTTATAATTATTCAAAGTGTGCATACATATTTTTGGGACACCTTGTATATGTGTGAATATTTACTGAAAATATTTTGCTTTTAAACAATGCACATACTGAAAATCAAATTTAAAAAAAATCAATGTGTAAAAGTTAAAAGCAAATAGGCCAAAATGTGCATTTATTAATAATATTAACAGAGAAATCCTAAGTGGCTTTGAACCAAAATAAAAATCAACTGTGCCCTGGCCAGTTTGGCTCAATTGGTTGAGAGCTTAATCCCGGATAGGGGACATGTAGGAGGCAGCGGATTGATGTTTCACTCTCACATTGATGCTTCTCTCTGTCCCTCTCCCTTTCCCTCTCTTAAAATCAATTTTTTAAAAAAAATCAACTGTTGCCGAAACCGGTTTGGCTCAGTGGATAGAGCGTCGGCCTGCGGACTGAAGGGTCCCGGGTTCGATTCCGGTCAAGGGCATGTACCTTGGTTGCAGGCATATCCCCAGTGGGAGATGTGCAGGAGGCAGCTGATCGATGTTTCTAACTATCTCTCTCCCTTCCTCTCTGTAAAAAATTAATAAAATATATTTTTTTAAAAAATCAACTGTTATGAAAGTTCCTTACAAATAACCCAAAAGGCAAAGTATGGAATTTTTCTTAATATCTCAGAATTATATTGCTACTGGTATTGTATTCTGATACTTTGTGACTATGGGATTCATCAAATCAATATTATATTGGAGTCACTGAGGTTTGATTTTCACATGGGAAAAAGGAGTAACAAATGTGAGACTGAAGATGTAAAATCTATGTCACCTGAATTCAAAGTGGAAGCATCAGTATAAAACCATGATGGAGTCCAGCTGGTGTGGCTCAGTGGTTGAGCGTTGCCTTATGAACCAGGAGGTTACAGTTTGATTCCCAGTCAGGGCACATGCTTGGGTTGCACGTTTGATCCCCAGTAGGGGCTGTGTAGGAGGCAGCCAATCAATGACTCGCTCTCACCATTGATGTTTCTATTTCTCCCTCTCCCTTCCTTTCTGAAATCAATAAAAATATATTAAAAAATAAAATAAAGACTATCTTTTAAAAAATCATGTATTTTGTCTTAACAAACAACAAAAACACAAGACAAAACATGTATTTAGTCACAATAACTCCTTATGCAAAGCCAGTGAATACAAAATATCATTTCCCCATAAAAGTAACACAGGGACTCCAGAGAGTTGGCTGACCCCAAGTCTTAACACAAAAAATACAAAAGCCTCATCTACCTTGTTGCACTAGAGAGCAAACAAGCTAATGAAAATTTTAAGGGACATAACAAGAGAACGCATAAGTAAACTCAGAGGACAATAAGCACACCAAGTATGTTTAAATCTAAAAAAAAAATCTGAATGGTCATTTTTGAAAGTTGCCAGAGAATCAATGCATTATTTTCAAAAACAGGTAATAAAAGCTAGAACCAAGCATTTATCATGCATTTTGTCAATGAGATGTACCTCAGGGCAATGAAGATGAGGGCAAGCTTCTCTTTATGGAAGTGTTTCAGCTAATAAATAGAAAACAGATTAACACAGAAATAGTATCTCTTCAACCCTTAATGAATAGAGTTAACCAATGAGCAGTAGCAGCTAGCCTAAGAGACATAACAAATATTTTATATGCTTATGCTCTCTCTCTCCCCACTGCTCCAAAATCAAATCCAATTCTATTGAAGCCTCTAGATCTAGCACCAATTTGCAGGAAATACAGGGGACAGAGAATCATGTTAAACTACACTCAAGAATATACAGTAGCTAGCCAATTCAAAGATGGACAAAGGATTTGAATAGACATTTCTCCAAAGAGAATATGTGAATGGCCAATAAGCACAAGAACAGATCCTCAATTTCACTAGTCATTAGTGAAATGCAAATCAAAACTACAATGAGATCCCATGTAATGCATTCGTCATTTCAGTTCCTGCAGTCTTCATTTTTGAGTGGTTCTTTTTTTCTTTTTTATCCTTGTTAAGTGGTGCATGACTGTATTTGCATGAATAAACAAAAAATTGAATAGCGGAAAAATGGCAGACTAGCTCCCAGTGAATCAATATTTGAGCAAGAAAGAGTGCTTGGACACTTATGACAACTAGCGGAGTGCTTAATAAAGGGAGAGGCGGCTGATCTTACCTAAGTGGGGGGGAAAAAAAAAACCCAACAACAAACCAATAGCTACCACTCCATTCCTCAGTGGCCTGTGTTCTGGGAGTGGCTGCCTGGTGCTAAAAGGCAGGTTGTGTGAGGACTTTGTCCTTCAAATATGCTGGGTGTGCTGTGGTTAGTCTGGTGGATACCTGAGGGATCTGTGCTGATGTTTGCCTCAGTTATGACCCTCTCTGAAGCAGCAGATTCCCAAGTGACACCTAAAACTTTAATCGGCCTAAAATAAGGAAATCTCACACTTTGCAAGAGCATGGATGGACCCGGAGACCATTACACTAAATTAAATAAGGCCAGTCAGAGAAAGACAAATACTATTGTGATTTCATTTCATTTATATGTGGAATCTAATGAATAAACCGGACTCAGAGAACAGACTGACAGCTGTCAGAGGAGAGGGGTTGAGGTTGGGTGTACTAGTAAAAGGTAAAGGGATTGAGCAATAAACACAGAAAACTGGTGATTTCCAGAGGGAAAGGGGAAGTGGGGGAGGTAGAAAAGGGTAAAGGAGGGATAAATGGAGATGTTAGGAAACTTGGCCTGGGGTGGTAAACACACAATACAATATACTGATGATGAATTACAGAATTTTACTTCATGAAACCTATATAATTTTATTAACCAATGTCACCCCAATAAATTCAAAAAACCCCAAGAGACAGAACCCTTCACCACCACCATTACCCTATTTGGAGCCAGACATTTATGGAAATCTTTGTCAGATCTCAGGCTGAATGTAGATAGAGATAATGGAATAGAAATTTCAGTGACAACAAGGAATACACACTTTGCAAAAACAGTTTGGAAAAGTCACAGGCCTTTAACAAGCAAAACATCAGTAATATCTGAGGAGTAGAAGAATCAGATTTCCAGAGTTAACATCTTTTAAATACTTAGAATATCCAGTTTTCAACAAAAAATTACAAAACATACAAAGAAAGAAAAAACTATAGTGATTCACGGGGGGGAAGGGGGGGTATAAAAATTATCCTGAGGAAGTCCAGACATTAGCATTACTGGTCAAAGATGTTAAATTTTAAATGTGCTCAATGAGCTAATGAAAACTATGGACAAACCTAACAGTAATTAGGAAAAAGATATACAAATAAAATGCTAAAAAGGAATCAGTAAGCATACCTTACAAGAAGTGCTATGAGACATATTCAGATGAAATGAAGCCAGACAGTAACTCAAAGCCATAAGAAGAAATAAGGAACATTACTAAGGATAATCACTTAGGTAAAGACAAATAAAAGTTACTGTATTTCTGTTATGTAAGTCCTCTTTTTTTCTTATATGATTTAAAATGGAAATAAGACAATATAAACTGATATCAATGGGCACAAATATATAAAGATGTAATCTGTGAAAGTAAAAAATATAAAGGGGAAGGGACAAAG